AATACAAGTAAACCTGCTGAGCCAAAAGGGACCAGGTTGTTGTTCATGGATATATTAAATTAAATCTATATATCTAATATGCACTTACCTAAAGGTAATGAAGCATCGACCATTTTTCTTTTACTGTATAATACACATCATGCTTACATCATGGCTATTTACTTGCTTTCATATTCCTTGGCTAATTACAGCTGTGCATGACGGCTGGTTACAAATTAATTGTAAAGTTGTTAAACATGACTTTGTTTTATGTACCTTTTTACATTTTCTTTTTAAATCACGCAGACCTTGAATCATCCATCAGCTCAGTTCCCGTGGAGCAAGCCAATCTTGCCTCACACACCAATCAGAATGCCTCTGAGATGGAACAGGATCACCAACCAGCAGAGGGCAACCAAGACATGGAACCCACCGATCAAAGTGATACAAGACAAGAGCCGAAGCACAAAGCTGACCAAAGTCCAGAGCAAGACAACAACAGTGGTGAGGAGGATGCTGTGCAGCTCCAGCACCGACAAGAATGTGTTTCTGATCAGGAGGAGGTTCAAGAAGAAGGAGAGACTTTAACAGATTCAGGAGACACAGAGCAGGTGGAAACCTTCTTCAGCACAATGAGTCACAGGTATGAAAATTCCTCTCAGGAAGGTCACATCTCCTAAGATGCTCACCGTGAATTTTATATAGCATTTCGGATTAACAGTATTGGAAAAAAAAAGCAGTTTAAGCTGTAGGTAGTAGTTTTGTGGTTGAGCCACTGCACTCGTGCTTTAACTTTAAGGTGCACAGCGGCTTAGTTTGCAGGAATATGTTCAATGTTACACAGTGTTTCACAAGGTGAATTGATAGTTAGTATAACAAATCTATTTCAAGATGCAACAATGAAGTATTTTATTAGTGTTTTCTCTTTTGATCACATGACACAGAGTGACGCTCATCTGATATTTGGGTTTGTAACTCTTTTTTGTGATCTCTCTGTACTTCCAACATGTTTTGCTGTCTTTAAGACACAGAATAGTTTTTTTCTCATGTGTGGATTCTGGTTTATGTCACTCTAAGCTATAAGGTTAACATTAAAATAGAGAAGACGGTTTTCCCTCTAACAGTATTCAGCTTTAAGTGATTCTTTTCAAAATGACACAGTTTTGGAGACGTGGAAAAAAGGAACAGAGGAGCTAAGGAGTCTCAGTTACTGTCAGGGGGAGAACTGCATGAAGTCTTGTGTGATTCATGTCCCTGACTTTGCTTTGATATTTGTACCCCTTTTCTTTTTCTGTTTGATTGTGTCAAATAAAAATTGAAGTGGGTTACTTACCTCTAATATATTCTCCTGTCTGAATCTGTTCTACTTTTTTAGATTTAGTGATATAAGACTGGATGACGACAATGGTATCCCTACACAAGAGTTTTTGGATTCATGCTATGCAATAGTGCCTGTATTAGGTAGGCCGGTTCATTTCTGTCTCTCATTTCAATCTGCCTCCTTGTTCCTACTTATCTTCATGTCCATTTGCCTCATTGGTACTTTCAACCTTTGTAGCTTTGATATGGGAAACTTCTCGCCTCTTTTTTTTCCCCGTCTGTCATCTGTGCATGCCCTGTCATTCAGGTGGTTTGTGATTAATGAGGTGGCAGCTTTGTGTCTCAGTTTCCACATCGTGCTTTTTTTTCATGCCCTGCATTATTTCCTACTGCACTTGTATGTCTGTCATTGGCTTTATTTGCTCTTTGTCAGTTCACAACCGATCGAGTGTCGAGGTTTATCATACCGGTCGGCTCATCCACATAGTTGTGCTTGTGTGTTTTGGTCTTTGTGCGGCACACACTGTGTACAGCACAAAGATAAACGAGGTAGCTGACCGACAACATGAAAGAACTCTTATGTGTGTAACGTATGGCAGTTTTTATCACGCAGAAAAAAACAAAATCACAAAGCTACTTTCTTCATTTTCCATCAGTTCTCTTTAGAACATCAGACTTAATATATCCAGACCTCTGATGCTGGTGGGTTGTACATGGGTCTGATTTGCACAAATGCACTGTAACAGTGGCCTGTTTCAAATAGGAAAAAAATAATCACAAATTCTCCATAATGGTTTAATTTGTGGCCAAAGTGAAAACAGGGAATATTCCCAGTTTACTCAGCCCTGTAGAAATTTTCCTAGATTTTCCTTTTAGAACAGCCACACCCACCCTTTGCCAAAAAAGAGAGTCACTAAAGTTCAGTTTTTAATGTTCAAGATATTTTATTTCACTCCAGCTCATGAATCTGTCAACATAGAAGAAACTTTTCTACCTTAAAAGTCAGCGTGTGAATTATGCTCTTTCTGTAGTAACTAAGAGTGAAACAGAGGCAAATTGTTTTTTTTATGTTTTAGAATAGTTTTGATCCAGATGGATGACGATAACAACTCAAGTCCGTGCCCTAGATCTTTAAGATCAGCTGTGCACTGATTTTTTGCTGTTAATTAGACCACATCTTCATTATTGATTCTAGGTTTATGTTAGACGGGACATTTCTTTTCAGTTTTGTTGTGTTTTTCCTAAAGATTTGCAGCTTTCTGCTTGAGCCATTCTAAAAAGCATTATCTACTTTTGGGCATCAGTGTGCCCCCGCTCTGCCTTCTTTCTATGCTGGATTGGCTACATTATTATTTTCAGCATATGTTCTGTCTAATGAGTGTTATTTTCTGTTCAAACGTTCCACTCGTCAGACAGGGATCTTGATTGCAATCCTCGTCTTAACTGTGTCATAGCTGCCCTGTGCTGCTCAAACACACACACCTTTTAAGGAAGAAAACTATCCCACCATAGTTCTGTTGAACAGTTTAGCCCTATTTGATAACGAGTAACAATGAGCAATTCGGCATCTTTGTGTCCTCTATTTTTAACACCTACAAAAGAAATATTTTGATCATTTGTATCATACAGAGTTTCTCAAAATTTGACAAAATTGAGAGCTTTCATTAAGAGGCAGCAGCAATGTGATGATGGATTCTCTCTTCTCAGACAAACTGGGGTCTACAGTTTTTGCACCAGTTAAAATGGATTTTGTTGGAAATATTAAGGTAAGTCTTCATCTTTTCAAAAACTATTATTGTAATATTTGTTAACTGTAAAGTATTAAAAAGCTCGTCTCAGTCATTTTGCTTTTCTATATTATGACAAGCTTTCACGGGCTCTACAGCAGGGTGACATTTGTTTTCATCACTGTTCTACTTTGTCTTGCCTGACCAGTGCAGTTAAATCCGATTTCTTAAAAGTGTTAATCATGCACGCTCAGTTTTTAAAAGCTGACAGATTTTTGGCTTTGGCTTCTTTCACGTGCAGAAAATCCAGCAAAAGCAGATGTCGGACCCTGACGGCTTCCACACGCTGCAGTCCATCGTGCTGCATGAAGTGCAGACAGATGTGGCCCAGATGCGCAACTCTGCAACCGAGGCGCTGCTGTGGCTCAGGCGAGGCCTCAAGTTCCTGAAAGAGTTTCTCTCAGAGGTTAACGCTGGGGCGCAGGACATCCAGGGAGCACTCAGTAAGTCTGACTCTGTGTTTGGGATCCTACCTTCCGCACGCCCCGTGTCACACTCGTTCTATTTTCTCACCTAGATAATGCTTATGGAAAGACTCTCAGGCAGTACCACGGATGGGTTGTGCGAGGAGTATTTGCTGTAGGTATCCAAACTTCTCTTCTCTGACTGGCACCTTGTTTTGGACTGTGACAGTTACTTGTTTGATTTTTCACAGCTGGCGCTGCGAGCAGCCCCTTCTTATAAGAGCTTTACCGCTGCCTTGGTGTCAAATGAGGGCGACGAGCTGAGCAGCCACTTCACAGACGGCATGCACAGGGACCTGGGGCTGTACCTGCCCGCCATGGACAAGCATCTAGCCATCCTAGATGCCCTATATGAAGAATACAACCTGGAGTCTGATGAGGTGGTTTGAAACTTGAACGAGAGACGATCAGAGCTGGAGGAAGGCAGCAGCCTGTCCCAAAGTGTAGGGTTCTGGCTAACAGCTGAGAGAACCAGATCAGATGCAGAAGCTGCATTTTACGGTATGTTCAGAACAGTGTGAGCCTATATCATGGTAATGTGATGTTGGATTTCTAAACTCTACAATGGCAGAGGGTCTTAGTGGTATTAATGTTTGTATTTCAAAGGGGTAAAGCAGAAGGCCAGTGACCATGAAAGGGTTTTGAACCTTATTATGCAGACTTTAACTATAATCATTCATGATAGTATTTGTTTCTCAGTCACATTTTGTTGTTTTGGTTTTGTGTTTTTTTTAATCACTCACATATTTAAAGTACAAAACTAGATTTAGTTGCAGTAACTTCCCTGCAAGTCAGCTTATTTCCTTTGACTTCTTCATTTGGTATTGCCCATTTTCCTTAGTTTTAAACAACACGGTAATACAATGAACAAGCACAAAGCACTCTTACACAAAACTTTCCTTCAATACATGCAGTTGAGCATGTGAAAGGATGACGTACGAGGCTAGCTTTTTCGGAAAGGGTAAGCTTTTCCCCCATGCACTGGTTTTTACATTTTATTGTAATATACCGTCAGTTTAAGTGAGTATTCTACCCCAGAAAGTTATTTTCTGGGCTGGATACTGAATTATTGTTGTTTAATGTCTCATTGTGAGATGATGCTCTGGAGTATTTCTGTGGGACCAAAAAGAAGTTGTGATGCGACTGGATTTAACCTCTGCTGCCTGCAGTGACACCACACAAGAGTGAAATGTTAAATAAGGGAGAACTGCTGTTCAGGTAAACGCTTTCTGGACTAACCTATGCATAGAATGCGTCTTCGGTGTGTATTTATTGTGTGTTAAATTATACATTTCACATTGATGACGTGCAGATCTCTTCAGTACAACGTTTGTGGGAATGTTTGGACGTTTGAATACATAGGGCATGTTTACTGACAGCATGTTTTTGTTTAGAATTTAACATAGGTGTCAGCAGAAGGTTAACCTAAGCCAAGAGCTTTAACCAAGCAAATGGATCATTCAAAGGAGATAGATTGTGAAATAAAAAGTATGTTGCCTTGATTTTATGCGTGAATTCAGAATGACCAGTGACATTTAATGATCTTTAATGAAAGAGTTAATGTTCAGGCCAGCTTAACATTTGCCTTTAAGTCAAATCAGCCACCTAAACCAAGAAGGGACATCCTCATAGGGCTTTACCAAGAGTTACTGTTGGTCACCACAAAGTTTTTTTTTTAATCTCTTTTTTCTTTTTTTTGAAAAACTTGTGTACAATTAATAGTTTATTGAAAGTTTGTTTACATCTCAGATGTGCAATAGACTTATGTCCATTAACAGGTGAGTTTGGATATTAATCCCATTGTTCTGAACCGATATTGATTTTCTTTTGTATGAATGTACATGAGATGACATTTGATTTTCTCCTAATAAATATGATTAAAGTGTAACCTGATTTACTGCAAGAATCAAGACTCCATTGTTCCAGGACATGACCGTTTTTTTTAAACAAAGCTTTAGGTGTTGGTTGAACCACCTTTTAAAGCAATCAATTTTTATGTTGCTTTTGATCATGATCACTCTGCAGGTTCTCAAGCAGTGGTTCAGTCAGGTTGAAGCCTGAATGTAACACCGTGGCTCATTGTAACACCATGTTTCTGGTCTAAAGTGCTGTTATACCAGGGGATTGTGGACTTCTTGCATTACGAGCTTTACCTGTGAGATGTCCTCAAGTTAGACTGTAATTGATTGGTCGTTAATGGTACCTGTAAAGCGCCCAGATTATATGGCTGTACACAAAGCCCAAACCATCAGCCCTCCACCACCATGTTCGCTGGTTTCACTGATGTGAAAACTTTCCAAACCTAAAATTTGCAGCTTTTGTCTTTTAAACAAGGCGTTTTATTGTAGCATCTTATCTAAAACCTCCAGAAGGTTTCTTCAGTGACTCTTAGTCTTTAAACAACAAGTTGTGTTAAATAAAACATGAAGTTAAAATCGAACAGTTTCCTTTAGGATCAAGGATGTTGATTCATTTTTTCTGAGAAAAGTTTCGCAAGTTACTAAACGCTTTTTGAATTTTTATTTGTGCACAGGAAATCAATTTGTTCGCAGGGTCGGAAATGTCCTGTTTGTTATGTTGTGTGGACACATCAGAAGTAAAAAATTGGATTGACCTGCGCAGGATAAGCAAGCGAAGGTAAGCTTTTACTCTGGCATGTTCCCAGACTATTCGCTGATGTGATTTAGAATAGGGATACAGGCTACTAATAAGCTTACATGGATGCCCTGCCATAGCCTTTATTACCATGGCTCATCTACAGGCACAGACGCAGCCCTGTGGCTCTGAAAAGCTGCTGCCATGTCTGGGAAACGGAGGCAGTTCCACAGATAGCCTGTTTACCGTTAAATGTAATGTAGCATTTCAAGGGAAGCTGCTGACAGCATTTTCTTTTTCAGGTGATGGTTATCAGTTCTGTGTTTATATTTGTGTGTTGCTGAGGGTACAACCAGAGCAGCTTTATCAATGCCTGTTTCCACGTCTTCCAATTAATTAATTACAACAGAAAGATATACTGACAGTGTTAGGAAAACTCGAACTTGCCTGTGTTTTCAGACTTAAAAAAAGAAACGGCACAACTAATGTAAAAATCTTAATTTTCAGAATCATGAAACAACATGAATATTTAGTATCTCAGTCACAGTGCATACTATGCTTCATAAAGCTTTAGAGTACAGTACATTATCACATGCATGTATGTTTCAGTATCAGAGCAGAGCAGCACAGATCACAGACACGACATCCTACATAGTTTCCTCCTGGTTTTGGAGCTTTGTGATGCATCACTGTAAGGTTTGCTATATCTACAGTACTTGGCTACACTGGACAAAGTATTTCTTAAGACACCCACTATGCTGATGAATGCAGTGATGATATACAAAACAATGTTTAAACTGTGTGGTGGTATTTCACACCATTTCGCAGTTTTTTTTCCTTTTCTTTTTTACAAGCATGCAGACATTGCTAACATCTATCTCTTTTGATTCCTTTTTATAGGATAATAATTATATACCATCTGGCTTCATCAGTGTTGGTGTACAGTAGCTTATGGAAAACGTCAGCTTATACCTGACACAGTTGCCTGCAGCACACAGAAAATCACATCTACACTGTTAAAGATACATTTGAGTTTACCAGTTGTATAAGACAGCACGATTGGATAAAGAGGTATAAGGGTAAGTACAGTAATGACCAAAAACAGACTGGAATTTGAATTCTGTCCACTTTAGCAGCTACAGACAAGTCCAGCCATTCCTGTGCAGTGAGATAATTAAGAGCATTAACAGTTTCAAGCCTTCACATATTTCTTTTTTCGCATAGAGGCACGGGGAGGGAATTTTTATTCGTCAGGTCTGCACATGCACACCTATATTAAAGCTTTTGTCAGAGTTACGTTTGTGCCTCAGTGTGCAGGCAGAGCCTTACCATTTACAGCGAGAGCAGCGAGGCATGTGTGGAAAAGGTGCTGAAAGGAGCAGCATTACCGGTTGGTTCCTGAGAAGTTTTTTGATTTTTGAATTCTGCGTCTATACTTGGATTCGCTCTCAACTACACCACAAACTAATGCAGCCCTAGTCTGTCTGAAATTTCATGACTAGGGACTTTTAGTGTGGACTCGTGTTTCAGAGTAACAGTCTCGCTCAAAAACGAAAAGCCTGGCTACCCCCACATATACATTTCCTAATGCGATATTGACAGACTACAATATAAAACTTGTTGTGTCTCTAACAAACAAAAATGCTGCCATGGACCGAGCGATTCCAGCCTCGTGCAAGTGCTGTGCGTTCTGCTGTAAAACTCCGGGGATCGTGGCTGTGGCTTTCCCACGCCATTCTTACGGAGTGAAAGATTGATACGCCCCTGTTCCAGCTGCTGCTTTTCTGCCACATCTCCCACTGGCACCTAATTGAGTCTGCATGACTGCCTCCCAGCTGTTGCTCTCAGAGGTTGGTTCTGGTCCAGTCCGGCGTGGTGTGGAGGCCAGTCGAAATCCTGCTTGTTAAGACAGTGCAGTTGTCCCACACGCTTCCAGAGTGTGGATTTTCACCTTCACTGGCTTACTCTGGCTGTGGGGGAGGCGTGTCCACAGAAATACAGATGAGTTGTGTGTGTGTGTATATATACGTATGAGTTTTGATCTGTCGTTTTTTTCCATACAGACTCGGTTGCCTCTTTCGTCAAGAGTCTGTTTTTCTTGGAGCATAATTGTTCTCTTCTTATGTTTTTTTTTTTGCATGAAAATATTCCTGTCGTGTCAAACAACTGACACACAGAAGATCCCGCTGCGCTGTGCAGGCTCCAGCTCAAGTGAAGTACTTGCAGTTTGTGGAGTCAATAACACAGTAAGGTTTGCACCTGAGGTAACCATACGAGCTGTAATGAGAGAAGGAAGAAACAAACAGTACATTACTTTTACTAGTTTGTACTTTCGTGCAGCAGTTTGTTTTTGTGCACACAGACATCCTGCGCTTACCCTGGAAGATATGAGTTACATGTCTGGTATCCAAAGTCTTTCCCATCACACTCCTCGACCCCTTCATAGCGATATCCGTCTCCACAGTAGGCATGTTTACACTCTGAGGTTATGCGAGACAGCGGGAGCACGGGAGTCATGTTATACGTGCACAGCAAAGCCCAGCTAAGGAGCAGTTAAAGACCATCTGATGTAGACTTACTGACACAGCCGTCAGTGACGACTCTGTTCCTGTCATCGCACTCCTCCCCGTTGGAGATCTGCACGGTCCCGTCCCCGCAGTAGCCGTCCTCATCGGGGGCGTTCTCCATGGACTGGAAGGGCGTCAGCTGGAATGGGAAAGTCTTTTGCAAAGGATTTCAGTAAGTTGAATGAATGGCCTAAGATGTGCTCCAAAGTCAACATGTTTTCAGAAAATAAATAAATAAATCTCATTTTACTAAAGCCACAGGTACCTGAATTGGTAGCCAGCCATCGACGTCTTTGAAGTAGAGGGATCTCTGATCTTTCCGGAATGCGAGCGCGTTATCAGTTTGAAGGCTCTCAAGTTCTTCTTCATTGCTCACAACAAATATCTATATAAAAAAGCAAGAAAAGAAAAAAAAAAAAAACTTGCTGACAGGTTGTCATGTGTAGTGCGTTTGGCATAGGTTTAGACAAGAAAGTGCAATACTTAAGCTACCAATTAACAATAAAGCTAAATATAATTTTTTTTCTGAATGCAATCAGCGCTTTGTATTTACAAAAGTCTTCATTTTCTTCATTATGTCTGATTTATGTACACTCAATCCAAGTATATCATAAAGCACCCAACAATCTCTGTAATCTTAATTTAATCAAGATTACATAATAAAATATAGCATTTTAATTTAATTTGTTTAGTTAGTAATCATATTTTTCTGACAACATGCATTTGACTGCTGCAAAGCTAATTATTCCTCACCGCAGGTACTGTGGGATAGTTTCCTGTAGAAAGATAATCATCAAAAGGAGAACTACTAAGGGAGCTGCAGCCACATTTTCCCGGAGGCCCCGGTGGACCACGCAGTCCTTTTGTTCCCACCATGTACAGTCCTGCACACACAGAGAACAAGAGAGTGTATGAAAAGTCCCAAAGTGAATTAAATCAGAAACTTAATCAGAAACTAATTAAGTTCAAGCAGTGGTGATAAGTAGAAACTAAAATAACATGGCAGGCTTAATGTGTAAACAGGAGTGTAGGCTATGGGAGTCTTGTAAATCCCATCTGCCACCGAATGCATCATTTGTGATGTATCAGTCAAGAGGCAAACCCAATCAGCTTAATTCATACAGAAACATGATCAAGATAAATGTCACTTTGTTTACGTGGTGACATAATATTTGCTAAATATTGAGAAGGCTATCCGTGTTTGAACCAACTTTAGCCACATGATGTCATCATGGGAGCGTCCTGTTTCAGCTCAGGAGATTGGATTTCTCTGGACGCTAAATAAGACTGCTGGTGTTACCTCTGACATGGCTCTAAAGTGTGCGTGCACAGCCGTTCACATGCTCAGCACAGAAAAAGAAGAGTTGAATCCCTACAAACGAAACTTCCCATACTGACTGTCCATGTTAGATCAATTCTTTTACCTGTGGCAGGTGCACCAGGAGGACCTGGGTGACCTGGAATTCCTTGTGGGCCGGCGGGTCCCATAGGACCTGTTCTTCCTGGGTCTCCTTTCATCCCCTGAAATGAATTCCAAGCAGGTAAAGTTTGGAATATCTCCTCACATCAGGTTTAAAGTGTTAAAACTAAGGAGTGAATAGACAGTGGCACTGATATGAGTTGAGCAGCAATCTGTTCTGCTCAGTAAAAGTATTTCTGTCAATAATCCAACGCTATTTCCATATGGGACGCCAATGCTTTTTCTGACGCGGAAGATTTAGAAAGAATGCAATAATGAAAGTAATTCAGAGAGGAGATTTGATTGAAAATGGTAGGCAGGCAACCATTTTTATAATGACAAAGCAATTTTCCTTTTTTTACTTTTGAGAAATATTTGTTCATTTTGATTTCGAGAAGAGTGGGACAAGGCCAAAGAAAGACTGGAAGTGATTGGCAACATCTCAGAAACATGACTGAGTGCCTCAGAGGTAGCTGTGGAGAGGTTCAGCATCCAAAAAGAGCAGCCGTTTGATATTATTTGTCAGGTTGATTTAACAAAGATTTCAGACATTTAATCAAAGGCAGAGGGAATTACTAAAATATTTATAGAGAGGGAAACTTCCCAACCCCATCATCCACTGATTAAAACAGAATAGATCTGTACAGTGAGAGCCAACCTGCTGAAACTGCATGATACTTGTGGTTTTGTTCTTACTGTATTTTACAATCTTCATGGTTTAACCCATGAAAGCCTGAGTAAAAAAATATTGTGTAGTATTTTACCCACTGTCCAGGTATATCAGGAATATCTAATTGTTTTTATCAATAAATAATGCAACAGATTTCAGAAACAACATGTATCAAATATGATTTATATGGGATAAAAAGGTTGATAAAATTCAACAGTGAAGCTCCAATATACACATAGTTATACTTACACACACAAACATATATTTATAATCTCCTCACCTGCTTGCCTCTCTTTCCTGGCCGGCCTGTGGGTCCTCTGTTTCCTGAAATTCCAGGTTCTCCTTTTGGACCCATTTCACCCTTCACAAAAAAAAAAAAATAAATCACACAAATTCACTGTTCAAAAATGATTCTATCGTTAATATCTAATTGGCTTTTGATACTTGGAGGAATGCATTACTTATTTTTCTTACTTTTTGCCCAAGCATTCCAGGGAAACCCATGGCACCCTGTGGATGGAGGGCAGCAGCTTACGTTAACTCAGACTACATACAGCGTTCTGGATGTACAAAAACGGCTGATACTCTGCCCACCTTGTCTCCTCTCGGGCCATGCTCACCACGGTCTCCCCGAGAGCCCTGAATATGCAAAGTGTAACGTGTTACGTTTCAGGGTTTACGTCATCTTCTTGACAAGGATGATTAATCATTCAGTCACATACCTTCTCCCCTTTATAGCCAGGTAAACCCTATAATTCAAGATGTATAAATCATGAGATAAGATGAAACATTAACAGAGTAAAGCTGATTATGGGGCTTCATTTGTAGATCATACCCTTGGCCCAATTGGTCCTCTGCCTCCAGGCAAACCCATCAACCCTGGATCACCTTTCTCGCCCTAACATGGAAAAAAAAGACTTTTCTTTAAAAAAACATGCCAGTAATATTGACCTTTAAGATTGAGCAGAATATTTGACTGTATTGGGTTGACTTCAAATCACAAAAATGGTCTCCTTAATTCTCCTACTTAGTTCTCTCATGTCATGTCATAGTTTATTTGATCCACATTTCGAGGCCTGACTTACTCACTTTGGCCCCATTTGGCCCTGGCCATCCTGGCGGTCCCTGCTTCCCTGGAAGTCCAGGAGGCCCTGTGCGACCCTGAGATGACAAAATGTTCTTTTAAGTCCATAATATCAGGGCGTTTAATGCGAGCTTGCTTTTACATACTAAGTAAAAAACAGTATAAGCTGACAGCCATCCCACAGCAGCATCTATCAGATGCTGCTGTACATGCAGAGGGAGAGTGGCTTTAACGAGGCCTGTCACTTTGCTTTTCTTAATTAAATGATGGGCTGTATATAGAACAGGACTCTGAGCTTGTTGGGAATAAAATGATTAATGATCTGGCTGAAGCACTATGCTAAATTGCACTGCAGTGCTGGAAACCTGCTCGCTAAGGAGAGGCTGCATTCACTGCTCTGCCACAGCAACAGATTATTCAGGAGGTCTCTCCTCTTCTGCCGGATAAAAAACTGCCCTTAACGTTCAATAAGGTTCTGCACATCCTCCCGTTCAATAAGACGGGAGCTCCATCTGACAGGGAAGCCTGAATCTTGAATTCTCCTCCATCCAAGAGAAGACAGAGTGCATAGTAAGTCCCTTTGCCGTAAAAAAAAAAAACAGCCTGTCTCAGCAGCCCTGCCTGCATCTTTGCATCCTGCCTGGGTGACAGTTCTGTCTCCTGTCAAGGTTGTACCTGCACACAATTTCTTGATGTGCGCTCTGATGTGCGCTGGCAGGCCTCTGACTTATAGCCAGCCAGCAGTCAGAGGCTTTGGATCTCATTTTTTGAGAAAATCTACTTACAGCAGCAACAAATACGGAGTGATTAATGGAGACTCACCTTTTGCCCAGGTCTTCCGATTTCTCCCTGACAACAGGATGCGGAGGAGGGGACAAGGACAACGGTCACTTACTGCACTTCCCGAAAGCATTTTTCAGTCACGTGCAACAGGTCAATTAAACCTGAGTTTATAAAAGATAATGAGTCGATTATAAAATCAAATGCGGACAGGCTGGATACATTTCCTACCTTCTCTCCTTTAGGTCCTTTAATCCCAGGTAATCCAGGTGGGCCCTTATGAACAGAAGAACAATATTTCTTCATAGATTATAGAGATAGTTATCTAAATCAATTTTACTGTCCACAACATCCCTCCTGCTTCTGGAAGAGCACAGCAGCAGTTTCAATTAGCGAAAGGCTGACTGGTTCCTATTGATTGAAAAAGTGCCTTGTGGGTCTCTTTTTATGTCCTGAAATGCTGCAGTCCTGTTAGTGCTGTAGCAGACGGAAATGCACAACTGCAAAATAAACAGTAAGTTGATAAACGCTCAACAAACAAAGTTAGATAATAAGTACCTATTGAACCAAATATTCCGTCCCCTCCCCCAATATTCCATCCTTGGAAAATACAAACACAGGGACGCGCAGGGTGTGAGTTGGTAATCCCTGGAATTTACGCGGCACAGTACGCCTTTACAGGCAGACAGCCCTCCGGACCGTTTCTGAGAATGATGTGTGGCACACTGGCAGGCAGTGGAAAAAGGCTATTTGTGTCACAGCTAAATGTGGAGCGTTAATGAGCTGCTGTGCTGCGTGGGTCAGAGAAATCCCCATCCCTTGGTCGGCAGGAACTATCACGTTGGAGCGGTGATGAGGTTAATACGCTGCGGAGGTACCTGTGCGCCACACCTTGGAGCCGCGTTGTCGAGACAGTTTCTGATTAACGGATACTGATATTTCATCTAATGTGCGTCAAACTGAAGCGGAGGTCTCGGACGTATCCAATGACTAGGCCCAAGATCCATGGTTTGGTGTCACTGCTCAGGTGACCATAATGTTTTAGGGGAGCCTGGTGTCCTACCTGAGGTCCGGGGGGACCAGCAGGCCCAGGTGGGCCCTGGAAGAGGGGAGTATCTTTATCATCAGGGTCCAACTTATTCCCACAACCACGATGTGAGAAGTCGTCATTCTGTGGAAAACAAACACAAATCAACTACTTTACAAATGTGACCAATTCCATCTAGGGGAAGAAGTCAGAAAAAATATTACACTATTTGAAGCGTCTTTCCAAAGTTTGTCAGGAGTTTTTTAATTTTTGTATTGTCTTCATATCCCAACTGAAATTTAGTCACCTTTCAGAGCGTGTTCTACCAGTGTTTACCCAACTAGCTCTCTCAGGGGTCAAAAGACAGAGCGATGGGCCATATGGATATAACCCAAGGACATATCAACAGCCACAATAGAAAGTCACATGACTTTGACTCACAAGTGTGTGGCCACGCCAAAGAGACGGGGGTGGAGGAAACAGCGGGGGTGGCGGAGGACTCAGTAAACAGCACGGGTTGAACCTCTTCTGCTGCTCCTGGGACCTGAGAGCTGTATGTGGAATGCATGCAGTCACAGATCACATCACGTGTCATCGAGTTGGAGGAGGACAGTCAGAACATGCCTCTCTCCGTTTTAACCGCTCCACTGGTGAAACTGGACCATCCTCGTAAACCCCCAGCAACAAAAGTCATTTCATCTCGGCCAGACATGCATCTGCAGCCGAGGGCAACGCACCCACTGTAAAAACTGGGATCAACCAAAGAGGTTACAAGATGCTGGAGAAGCCCAAGCAACAGGGAAACAGGTGCAAACTATCAGATCGTGACACCCGTCCAGTAGAATTCCTCGAGCTGGACACAGATATGAAGTAGCCCTCGCAGAAGCACTGAAGCTGCTCTTGCTATTTTTAGAGGCATTTCCAGTGTTCCTCAAGCGAAGGGAGAAAAATCAAAACAAATCTAATAGGTCGGGTTAAGCCAAACTGGACCCTCACAGCGGAGAGGCTGGTAGAATCTGCGCTTTTACACCTGTGCACGCACGCACGCACGCACAGGCCCGCAAAGCAGAGCGCTGGTGTGCACAGACCTGCAGGATCAGACACAGCGAAGGATCCCTACCTGCTGGGAATGAAACGAAGCTGTCCAGAAGTGAAGACTGAGCCAGGCCGTAGGAAAACCACAGTGGCAGATACAGTCCAAGTGTTAGAGGAGTCATGCTGCTACAGATAGTTGCCTGAGTTTATGTCCGAGCCCCAGCAGCCTGCCTACACTGCCTCCTTCCTCTCCGTCCTCTCCCTCTGCTCCCCTCCCTCTCACTTTGCTCTATTGGTCTCCCTTACGCCTTCGCAAGAGGGTATGCTGACCAATGCCCATTAAATCTTTCCTCTGCATCAGTGTGCGCTAAAATTACAGGACGCAGGCCGCCAGCTGCCTCTGGTGCCAATATTAGATTTCTACTACTGTAGGGGGTGTTATTGTTGTTTCCACTCCTCAGGGAAAACTTAATAGAGACAGACCCACAGTTTGCCTTGCTGCCAAAAGGATTGTGTATGAAGGTAATAAAAAGCATCCTTGGATAACACTTCATCTTTCCAATTGATTAGGGGATCCCCATGCGCTTTGGTGTCGGTTTCGTTTTGGCTGTTTCCACTGCCGTTTCCTCATATCGAAGAGGTAGCATTTCCCAATAGGTTCTTTTGTAAATAAGAGCTGTTTCAACACAAAAACATCGGTGTCATGGAGATTAGACTGATAACACTGTATGAAACAAGAAATTCCTACTATTTCAGTTCTTTTCTCCTTTTTTAATCTTCTTTTTATTGTAAATGTCAATTTATATAATGAGGAACCATTATGAATTTAGCTATTAACTTCAGTTAAGAAACATGCTTAAAACTTCAACAATTGCTTAATTAATATAGAACAAAAAATAACGACCATTGATGAACCCTGAACATTTTCAGGAACATTTGCATGCGAGCATGAAGATATAAAATATATAATTAGATAACAGCATTACAAAGATTTGCTGGGGTATCATTTTGTCATATACCACAATTTAGTAGCATTAAAGATTCAGTTATTTTACAAAACACAAACAAAAACAACTGCTTATTGTTATCCAGTTCTCCAGTGCCAGAACCTCCCAGCTGTTCTGTCAATATTCTGGAGGCAGGCTCAGGTCTAAAGGTTGGAGCGTGTCAGCCACGGAAACTCCTGCAAAAACAGACAAGGAGCACAAGTCATAGTACTTTCCCATTTGTTATCCAGCGACACATATGTTTTCTTTCATCAGTCAAACTGTACTTCAAGTCTGAGGAAATAACTTCAAATCAGCCGACTTTGAAGGCCACAGAGGGAGCAGCCATGGAGCTCACCACAACCTTCAACAGTGTCTTCAGAGGGTTGCATGGATACATTCAACATAAACACAGAGGGATATGCATTCTAATTATGGGTCTCTTGAAATAGAAAGGTTAGGTTGGTGCAAAGTGGAGGGATTGTGAGCAGGATACAGCAGTTCCACTGTGCACCTGGAGTGTATGGATTAATATTAAGGCACGTCGGTCACTTTGTGAGGAGTGGGCGAGACCAGAGTCCAGTTTTTGATGCTCAGCTGAAATGTCAAAGTGAAGGCTTGGCTCTCTACTCTGCAGCCAGCTTTGTGACTGAGCCAACCACTCATTTTCTATTGAAAGAACACAATGAATACAAGTCTCAACAAGCCAGCCCGATACATTCTGATTTAACGGAGAATCTGTGGGCTGTGCTGAATTAAACAAGATCCCAACATCCCTGAGACCCACGACAAAGTGGTCTTATCCACACCTCTGTGCATTAAAGTTGCTACAGCTGCAGGTGTAGCAGGAGGTTTTAATAAGTGACTCAACAAATCAAATCTACAGGATTAAAAAACAGTATCAGGTCAACCTGAAATACATCACAAACGGCAGGAAAAAGCCTCCAAATGTGGCGGATATAAGAAAAAGAATGCCTCCTACACAACGCTGTGTGTCCATCAGAGGGTTGACAGAGATATGGATGTTGCTCTGGGTTGGAAAAGAGCTGTGGCACTAAAGTCCCACCACAAGGTAGCGTCTGTCCCTGCCTGCAGCAGGCTGTGAGCTGACTACAGAAGACCGGCTAGCCACTGCTATAACCATGTGCTGGAATAAATAGCTGATTTAAACAAAGGGGATTTGCTGACAACAATGCCTGTTAAAAGTCTCAATGAAACAAGTCAATGTGCACATTGTCACTTTACTCAGATGTTCAAGTTACTAAATATACTTTAATAGCAAAAGCAATGTCATTTTTTCAATGTTCCTCGAAAAAGGAAGTGTGACTGAATCTCTGTGAAGAATTTGAAAAATTTCCTGACTGTTATTTTGGCTAAAGGACTCATTCATATGAGTGGCCTTAACAGTAAAACACCAGTGTTGTTTCATTTTACATCCCGGACATGAATCCATGTAGTTTTTTCCTTGTTCTTAACTTGTAGGTACCTGCTGCTTTCTGTCTGATGAGGGGTCGATGAGCACGTTGAGCAGACTTGGTTTTTCCCAGTCGCTCAGGCTGAGTTCCAAGGCACTGCGCAGCTCCTCCACCGTCCTCACCAGCATCCCTCGGCCTCCGAACGCCGTCATGACCTCATCGTAGCGTGCGTCGGGTAGCAGGGACACAGGAGGGACGCTGCGGGGTAACAGCCTTCCATTAGGTCACAGCTCACTGTGCACACGGATGCAAACTCTACCATTCACTTAAACACTCACATTGAGGTAAGATCCCCCATCTTTGTCATCTCTTTCCATGTCTCAGAACTAACTCCACTGTATATCCCGTTATTGTTGACCACAATAATCACCACTGGTAAATTATACCTGATTGGAAAAGACAAAGAAAAGAAAACTGTGGAATCAAAGCTCATGAGGACCGGATCGTACCACCTCGACAGGAACCGACCTGCACATGGTCTCAACCTCCATGCCGGAAAACCCAAAGGCGCTGTCTCCTTCCACACACACAACTCTCCTGCCTCTGGCCTCGCTCCTCTCCACAGCAGCCGCCGCTATAGCAAAGCCAAGGCCTACTCCCATCGTTCCAAAGGTGCCTGCATCCAACCTGCACGTCATCAGAACTACATCAGAACGTTCTCCTAAAGTCAGACGCATCACCTTTCTGTGGATTCATGCCGTACAATTCTCATCGGAAGGGAACGCAAATATTTCCGATCCTGTGAAAGTTTTCACTTGTTTTGACTTCACTTAGAGAGTTAATCATTAAGATCGATTTCCTCAAAGTAAAATACTTTTTCTGTTTTGTTTAGTACCTGCAATCCCAACAGGGAATAAGCGATAATGGACGGATGGAGGTTTAGTTTAATATAACTTTCTAATATGTTTGTAATTAGTGTTTATTTCCTTTGTAGAGTTTCTCTCCTTATCTGTCCACGGTGAGAGTGCGTGCCTTGCCTGTGTCGAGGCAGGTGGTTGTTCAGCATGGTTCGTCCAATGTCCATGGTGTTGGCCCCCTCGCTGACGATGATGCAATCCTTCGGCAGCAGCTGGGCCATGTGATGAAACACTGTGTAGTAGTTCAGGGGGAAGGTTGCCTTTAGAGCAAGGGACTGCAAGACAAAAACAAGAAAAACAACCACTCCATAACCTATGAAACATTATCTAAAATACCTCCTCTAATAATGCGGGAGTCGTCCCCACCTTGGATATCTCTTCATTGGCAGCTCTCTTTTTTCTCAGCGTGCTCCACCACACCGTGTTGTCGGGATATTTCCAGCCCTCTTTGCGGACACACTTAAGTAGCTGGAAAAAATAAGAACACCGATTTAGAATAATGAACACACACAGGCAGCAGCTGGCAAAGTACAGGACATCTTTAAACCAATCTCTATCTCATCACCTGAGTTACAACAGCACAGATGTCGCCCAGCAGAGCAACAGCTGGCCTCACGTTGTTACCCATCTCCTCAGCACAGAGGTCCACCTGCAAGACGAGCAGCACTACGTCGTTCCAACATCAAATCGGCAGAATCAACTAATTAACACGCAGAAAATGTGCTTTCCTAGCTTATAAAACAGCAACAATAGGATTTCCCTTTGAGAAACATGCAGTGTTGCACGTAGTTTAAGTTAATTTCTATTCAGACTTAGTTTAATTTCACGACAAAACACAAATTTACATTTAAACTTAAAGGAAGCGCCTGGCTGTCATTTAATACCTGAATGATCTTAACATTAGGGTTAAATCTAGGTGGCAGACCAAAATGCAGGATCCAGTTTAGCCTGGCTCCAAGCAGAAGGATGACATCAGCCTGGAGAAGAGCTCTTGGTAACAGGAAAAAAAGCGACACATCACTCGACTGAAGGACTTTACTGAGTAAATGTCTAAAATGTCATTCTTTGTGAATTCATTAAGCTGAGACAAAAAACGAATTAGACATTATTAGAACGATTCAGATTGCAGCGTCAATCAAGAAGTCATAAATTAACTACAGAGGAAATCAAATCAAACCACACGGGCATGAATAGGTCTGGGTTGACTTGGCTCTAGGAGCCAGCTGCTCCTGGAGTGCTGAAAGCTAATGCAGCAAATACATCGTCGTTACAACGGTTACAATGATTCGGCTTCGGTTTTTAAACTGTAAGCAACACAGTAATGACACGGCAGGTACATAAAAGTGTATCTGAATCAGGTTAAAGGTGGACAAATCTGCAGATGGGCTGAGAAGCAAGGCCAGATTAGCGTAACTATAGACCCCCTTTTACTGAATACAGAGGAATCAGCAGAATAATATCATAAGACATTTAAAAAATAAATGTTATGGGGCAAAACTTAAGAATCTACAATTCAGAGGAACACTTTGGATGATTCAGCTTTGGATGATTCAAAACTGCTTGACAGGAACCTTCACACACAGCATTAAGTAATCTTTCTGACTCAGTTTGACAAAGAGAACATTGTTTGTTTTCTTCAATGGCATAATTCCCCATGAATATGAATGAATCTGAAAATCAGAGGCGGTGGCATGTGCACGTCTGAGAAAGTGCTTTGTAAGGTGACCAGACAGTTGTAATGAGATTAAAAAGGAAACGCATATCCGTTTTCTTTTTCCTGCTTCAAAGGAAACAAACAAAGGACAAGTGGCCCTGTTACTTAGCTACCTGTTGCTTAGGAACGTATAAAACTCCTGTGATGTACAGCTTACATCTAGAATTCTGTTTGAAAACTCTGACCATGACTTTTTGGAAAATATGCCCAACAAGATAGCATTATAACTTATGACTACAAAGTAACTACTATTATTGTAGTTTATTTTATTTTACAATCCAGTGCTGCGGCTACAATCAAAGGTCAGCAGCCAGTCTGGACAGCGTGGCTGACCTTGAGCGGGCAGCAGCCACACAGTTTGTGTGAGTATCGGGCAGGACTCCTTTCCCCATGGGTGTGGGGAGGAATGGCAAGCCACTCGTCTCCACAAATTCCCGCAGCACGATTTCTGCTCGGCTATAGGCTGCTCCTGTTGGGAACAGATTCATTTCAGTTATCTTCAATGATCTCATTTCTTAGTGATGAGGCAATGTCTGAAATTATAGCTGGAGGAAGCGCGAGGATTCCGAGAGAAACTGCAAATGTTTGCTTGTAGTTACCCTTCCCAATGATGACCAACGGTGCCTTGGCTGCTTTTAGGACAGAGACGGCCTCGGTGACCGCGTCCAGGTCAGCCAAACTCAGTGGTGGAGGCGGGCAGCAGGAGGCTTGTCTGCAGCACAGAAGATTCTCTGATTGCCTCACACTGGAGCCATAACCCTAAGTGTTATTACTCATCAATAGGACATGCAAGAATGACAACACACCTGACTTTGCTCCTGTCGGCTTTAGCATTGACCATGTCCCCTGCGATGTCAACGTAAACAGCCCCCGGGCGGCCATACATGCTTGTGCGGACGGCCTATGAGCAACATGATGGGAGTCAGTCACCTCTGTGTTGCCACCATCCAGCAGAAGGACACTTTTGAATATGAGGATTAAAAGAAAAAAACCTTCTCTATGACTGAGGGGATAGCCTCTAGGCTGCTGGGTCTGGCAGAAAACTTGCTGTACAGCCGGCACGCCTCCACCTGGAAACATAGAAAAACAGCACGGGTGCAATGAAGCGCTGTCAGGGGAAAACCTCCACAGGAAGGGGCGCCGTACCTGAGGGAACTCCTGAAAGGCTCCTCCCGTCTCCTGGTTTCGGTCAGAGGAACCCCCAATGACAATCACCGGCCTGCAGAAAAACCATCACCCTGCACATCTTCAACAGGTCCCACAGTTTCTGCGGAGCGTATGTCTTAAAAGTTGGTTCACGGGGTAATACCAGCAGTTCATGTTGGCGTTGGCCATCCCACCCAGAGCATGGATGAGTCCAGGACCAGACACTACCAGGCAGGCACCGGGTCTGGGTTCAAACAACCACAGTTTCATGGGGATGGATGCAGCAGTTGCTCAGGTTTGTCTCGGCAGACACTAAATCCTTACCTCCCTGTAAGATATCCAACGGCAGATGCTGCATAGCATGCCTGTGGGGGGGACAGCTATGCGTTAGATATCATAATTACCTCGCGATGCAATGCTATTATCGCAGGCTGAGCTCTTTATTCGTTCCTTTGTTTTACCGCTTGCTCGTTGCGCATTCCGATATATTTGATCCCGGCAGCCTGGGCAGCCATGGCCACCTCAATGATTGGAACGCCAACTATCCCAAACATGTACTCCACTTTCTGCAGGGGGAAAAGTTGATTAATGTGCAGCACGCTGAGATCAACCAATATCAAAAGCGAGTGAGAATTCTGCAATTTTTTCTTTTTTTTTTTTGCATTATATGTCAGTCAAATCTGCTCGCCCTGCTCTTGAACTTTGACATAGTTGGAGCAGCGTGGACGTTTTTATTTCGGCGTTTCGCCAACTGTTTCCGAACTATCTTACCTGAGTCTTCAGAGACTCGGCTATCAGCTCGGCGCCAGTCAGCTCCATAGCACCTCGGCTCGTGTGTCGTATGAACTCTGAGACCAAAACGCCCGCCGCTCCGACACGTCGTTTCTGGCTGCCTAAACTTTACCTCAACGGTCTTCGAGGTCACGCCCACCCGATTCACTTCCTGTTTACGAGCCAATCGCTGGGGACCGCTGCGTGTGACGTCAAATAAGATATCTTCAAGTGTTCAATTATAAATCAGACAGACTTTTTAAATGTATTGTCATGAAATATTGAGTTACTTTGCAAAAGCAAAGAATGGGGGGTTTTGACTGGAGAATTGAGATGTATGAATAGTGTATTTTGAGAGTAACGTAATTTAATTGATTATTTAAATTTGTTTTGATTTGGTGTATATCATTTTAAAACTTTTTAAAATGTAACTTTTGGTGATTTCCTACCGAAATGAATAGAGAATCCCTCAAAAACTTTGACCTCTTTGAGCCTACTTCACCACACTTATTTTTATAATTTAAAAAAGTTTTGCTCCTTGGGGAGAAATTAGAACACAGAAAACCAAAGGGTCATTTAACTCTCTCAGACATTTTAGAATATTATATATTATAAATATATATTATCTTATTTCAACATCTTTCAACTTTCATGTACGGGTTAAACCTTAACACACTGGCTAAACTTGTCCCCTTTCAGCTGATGTAACTATCAAAGTAGTTAAACCTTTAGAATTTGAGCATGAACTTTAGAGTCAGAGAAACCCTGTAACTCCCAACAGAGAGAAAAGTTCCGTTTCAGGCTGAAAGTTGGAGAATGCCAGAACAGCCTTTTCTATTCTTCATTCATCATCATGAATTGCAATGAATAAATTAACAAAAATCAGAAAAAGGACTCATGCTCATTATTAAATAACTCATTTATTACTCATAAAATATACAGCAATCTCAGTACTGAAAGAATTCATTGGAATTTTGAATTCACAGTCATAATTTCTATGTACACACTAGTTTCATTCCTCTTCAAGAAAAAGCAAGGAAAAAAATCCCTTCCATTCTAATGAATCTAGCAAATGTACATGTTTCCAGTTAAAATTATTTTTCAAACAGACAAAAACTGGATTTCATGAATTGTGGTAATCAAGTGGTTTGTTCTCTTTTTTTAAGTTAAAGCAAGCAAAACTAATATACCCCCCCCCGAAAAAAAAAAATTCACTCAGAAAAAAAAGCTGCGTATTACAGTGTTTCTCCTCAGAGCTGCACAGAAGCCTCAGTATTGGATCAGTGCTTTAATACTTACCTAATGTGCACTTTCACAGCCCCGCCTGCAAACCCATCTTTTCTCAGTAACTGATGAAGGCACAAAATGAACACATGAAAAGGAACCAAAAGTACACAAATAATTTATTCTTTAAAGTCTAAACCGTGGAGAACAGGTCAATATACAAAGGTAGGGTCGATCAACTGAATAATAACCAGGTGGATGTATCAAATGTTCTTTCACTGGGGTCACTGAATCAAAGAGTTCTAGTGGAGAAGGAGATTAAGACATTAAAATGGGTATATTAAAATTTCGATCTCCAAAAATAAATGATTTTTTTCCCCCCCTGCATGACTTACAAACTTGAAGCGTGGTGCATTCTAACGGATGTAGTGTGCGTATATCGATTGAAAAACGAAAATCTCCCCACCCGCTCATTGCTATACGAGAACTCCCAGTCTTGTTTTCTTGATGCAGTTAATACCGGGTTAAAAAGCATGGAGGTCTTTTGGTCCCTGTTGGTTCGACTCTGTGTGAGTGAAACCACACCTTTTCAACATGTTATTGCCACACGACCGCTGCGGTCTGCCCAGCGACCCTCAGGTTCTCGCACTGTGGAAGTCAGTGTAGGTAAAGCAGTGGTTATTGGGGTCCAGCTTCTGCTGAAGGACCCCTTGAGCTGGACGAGGTCGGGACCAGTGTGCGTGGGCCTGCTGCACCTGCCCTACTTGCCTGCTGTCTGGGCGGTGTTGGGGACTCTTAAGGCTCCTGTGCGATCTCGCGTCGTTTGCTGGCCCTCCCAGGCTTGCTGCGGGTGATTTTTAAGACACAGTGTGTGTGTGTGTTTCTGCATGTATCTCTCCCTCCCGTCCGTCAGTACGTCTCGGAATCAGAGTCATTGAGCTCTTCATCTTTGTAGAAGCCGTCGTGGTGGCTGATGTTGTTGAAGCTGCAGTAGGAGCTGTGCTCGCCGCGGAGCGCCGGCAGGCTGTCGAAGGTGACACTTTTGGAGGGGCTAGTGGTGTAGTGGTTAATGGCACTGAAAGGGAGGGCGGGTGCCGGGGTGCAGGGGGACACAGGCATCATGGTGGCCAGGATAAGGGCTAGGCAGTCTGCCACATCTTTGTTGGGGGCACAGGCCAAGGCGGGTGTGTAACCTGAAGAGAGAATAAGACTCCATAAAATGAACACACACTTTAAAAGTTCTTGGATTGGTGCTGCGTCGGTTTGATGATACAGGCAGAAGTTACATGATGAAAAAGACTAAAAATATCCCTGAGCATCAGAGCTGCAATTAGCAATTATCTTAATGACTGATAAATCTGCTGATTAGTCTCTATAAGCACACAGCTATCAAGTTCCTCTCTGGTGGAACTAGCTCACATTATTTAATCCTTTCTGCTTTACGATTAGTTGAAAAGCTATCCAAACAATAGGGTTTATCCTTAGAGCCATCTTTAGGTTCTCTGCAGCTGATTCTGCTGCAGTTTTGCCAAGGGGTTATTTCTCAGGATTCAACAGCCTTCTCTCAGTTATTTTGTTATAGGGTGTTAAGACTAATATGTTTTGAAACAGCGTGGTCCAAACAAAACTGAATCTTTTTTTTCCTTCCAGAATTTCCAGCTCATATCAATAACATGTCAAAAATGACAAATGATACCTGTTTTGGGAAAAAAAATATTACTATTTTTTTAAAAACATTTTTATTTTATTGTTTGTTTTAGATTTTTGTTAGTTTGGCCTGTCTACAGTCCCTTTATGTACTCTAGAAGAGGGGTCTAAAGCATGGAAAATAAAGCTATGGCTAATTTATTATAATTCATAGTGTGTGGGTGCCAACATATTCTTTTCAACAGTAATGCAAAACGCTTAAGAACATTTCTGTCTTTTGGAGGCAGCTGAAGATGTGCCTAAAAGGATAGGTTAGGCTGTGGTTATTTTTCACAGGCACAGAGAATAAAAAACACTCAAAATCTCCACACAAGTCTGCAAATCAAGGGTTTTTCCAGACCTTTTGACTCTTCCACTTGTGGGTACTGATGGCTACAATAGTCCTTAAGACACAACAAAAAAGACAGCACGACTTACGGCTGTGGTAGGAGAGGTCAGTATCCACGCAGAGGCAGGTAACTATCCCAATGTAACGTAAAATCCCTGAACAACCCCCGCCCCCCACCAAAAAAATAAACAAAAGCAAAGCTGGGGTGCATCAGTGTGTGTACCATTTTCATCGACAGCGAGGACGCTGGCTCCCTTGGCCAGAAGCTCCTGCACCACCACAGTCAGGCCGTTTCTTGCAGCCACATGTAGAGGCCTTCAGGGACAGAAAAACACACTCAGTGACTACTGCAACCTCTACGTCGCCGCTCCTTCCTTTTTTCTGTAACTGAAAACGGGACACGTACGTCTGTAAGGCGGCGTTTGTGGCGTTTATGAGGTTTCTGTCTGAGATCTTCTCCAATACCAACAAGGCACTTGTTTCGTGTCCCTGCGGAAAAGGCGGGATGTGAGGAGAGTTAAGCGTGCGCGTCAGTGCGCGGCCGATCCTGTTGGCAGCTGAAAAGTGGCACAACAGTGACACCGCCTGGGGATGCGTACCTTACTGCAGGCCAGATGGAGGGCAGTGTTCTTCACGGCGTCCTGCAGGGTGAGGTCTGCTTTCGCACTGCTCACCAGCAGCTCTGCGGGCGACAGCCAGGTGGTCAGATGAAGGCGGAGAGAACCAGACTAACCACTGTGACGTTGCTCCGGTTCGACCGGGCAAAAGGCTTCTCGTACCGACGGCGTTGGTCTGGCCGTTGGCGGCGGCCATCATGAGCGGCGTCTTCCCCGCGGCGTCCACGCCGTTGACCTGGGCGTTGTGGCTCAGCAGGAGCTGGAGACACTCCACGTGGTCGGTGAATGCCGCCGCATGCAGCGGGGTCCTGCGCAGACAACATCAAAGCACGGCCCGCTTTAAACCAAAAGCTCTAAAGCCGTCTGGAGGACGCGTTCCTCCAAAAAAAAGCAGACGCACCTGTCCTTGCCGTCTTTGGCGTTGACAATGGCGGGGCCCAGAGTGTCGATCAGCATTTCAGCAGCGCCCTCGTTGTCATGGATTCTGGAAAGAAAAAAAAAAAGACGGCTTAATTGTCTATCTGTTGGAAGTCGGGCTCTCTGACACGTTGATGGAGACAGGAGAGGGCTCAGGAGCTTACACAGCACAGTGGAGGGGGCTGAAAGAATTGCCCTCGGCCTTGTGAAAAACCTCCTGTTCCAGCAAAACCTCCACGCACGTATCGTGACCTGAAGGAGACAGAGCATGGAATCATGGAGTCAGTCTTCAATCACAAGGTGCTCAGAATAAAGACAAAAAGCCTCTCAGCAAGTGTCAATGGGAGAGGAAAACAGAAATGCACCACAAACGAGCATTAAATGGGGAAAATAAAAATAAGAAAAACGGACATGCCTACTTTAACTTGACAATTTGTGATCCTAATCTACCGTTTTGCAACAGGCTTATCTATAAGGGCTGACACGTTCACAGAGCAGACACACATTTCTGTACATGTTCCGATTGTTTTGTACCATTGTAGCAGGCCCAGTGCAGTGGAGTGTAGCCTTGGTTGTCTGTTAAGGCAGGGAGTGTTTCCACTGATTGGGCAGCATGCAGAAGGCCTCCCAGTACCCCTATGTGTCCACATGCTGCTGCCAGGTGGATTGGCGTGCGGCCTTTACAGTCTCGCACCAGGAAGTTGGCGCTGTGCTGAAGTAAAGCCTCCACACATTCCTCGTGACCGGTCACTGCCTGTGGACAGAGAACAGGATTTAACAGGAGGCTGTTTCTGAGAGACGAAGACCTGCGGGATGAGAAGTTCCGGTTTAGTTTTTTTTAGAGAACAATAAAGGTGGGTAAACGTTCTTAATGAAAAAACAATCTCCTGATTGGTTTTCAGTCCAGGTGGCAGAAGATATGAGGGACTCCTCCTAAAAGCTTCATTCAAAGTGTCTCTGAGCATTAAATGTGAATATTTCACCATGTGCCATTTGGAAATATTTTATATTCATTAGATATGGCAAAATTCTTGATTTTGTATTAAATAAATACATTTATTTATTTTCATTTTTTCAGTCTAAAATAGAAAGAATGCCATGTCTTATCTAAACCTTCCTGCAGGACCGCTGGTCTTCCAAATCTGAATAATTCTGACTATTTCTTCTATTTATTCATTGAGCATGAAATGACTTTATTTCAGTTTAAGTATTAAATTAAAGTTGACGTAATGTAATTGTTTCGTACTCCTCTGTGCAAGGCTGTCCGGCCCCACTTGTCTTTGGCTTCGACGTTGGCTCCCTTATTAAGGAGAGAATACACACAATCTGTGTGTCCACTCAGGACTGACAGCATCAGAGGGGTTCTGAAAGATTAAGACATCAGGAATTATTCTAGGACATTAAAGCCTGGGAGGAAAAAAGACGAACAAACGTACTGTCCATTCCCGTCCTGAATGTCCACTGCACTTTGAAGATCAGCGTTTCCGATCAGCAACCGCAGACACTCTGAGTGACCGTTGGTGGCTACGGGAGAAGAGAGGCCGTTTGAGTCAGTCCTGTTTTATCCATGTCTGAATGATCGGAATCAGATTCCTGCCTTTCCACCGAGGCTGTACCTGCAGCGTGTATTGGGGTTCGCTTCAGGGTGAAATCTTTCACCAGGATGGAGGCTCCCTGGTTGATGAGGACGTCCACACACTCCACGTGACCCTTGAAGGCAGCCAAGTCCAGAGGTGTGCGCCCTTGGCTGTTTCTAACATCCAAATCCAGCAGAGACTGCACAAGAACTTCCATGGCTTGATGATGACCGTGGTATGCCTAAAGGGAGAATCCACCAACCGAAAATGGGTCACGTTGGTAAAATACTGAGAGCTGATTTAGTTCATTCTCTCTCTCTCAAACACAGCTTCAGTCTTAAATGCAAATAGGCTCACACAGAGCCAAAATGATTTGTTCTGAAGGGGAGCCAGATCTAGGACAGAAGTTGGACAGGGATGCTGCGGTTGGCATGAGAGATTGTGTATTCCAAACTCTTGAAAACAAACCTACTTGACTTCAGAACTGAACGAACTATGGTGATTGAAACCCCTGAGTTTTCTACTGCTGATAATAACTGATGTACCTGTAAAACTTTACTAGTCCTCTGATTAGAATGACACTACTCACAGCAAGGTGCAGCGGGCTGACAGGAGCTCTGACATCAGAGTCATTCAGGATGTCTGTCCCTGAGGTTTCCATTAGCTGAAAATATAGAAAAGGACACTATGTAGCTCAAAGCTCAGTACAAAACCTTAAAATTTAAATGTATACACAAACTCACCACATCTAAGGGCGTTTCACTTGCAATCTGGAGGAGAGAAACAGCATATTAATAAAAATAAGAGTAAAAATATGTATTAGGATAATTATTAAGTGGCTTGGTCCCCTCACCAGCTCCAGACAGAGGCGGTGTCCGTATGCAGAGGCATAATGCACAGCGTTGTAGCCCTGATTGTCCCGGATCCCTGGATTTGCATCATTTCTCAGTAAATATTCCAGGCACCTGCACACACACACACACACAAAATATGTTGTAGTCAAGGGAGCACCATCCTGGCTCCAAGCCCTAAATATCACACAGACCGACTCATAACCCAAGTAATCTTTAAGCCGCCTAAACCCACAAACAATGGCCGTCTTTCAAACAGCAGAAGACTGAGAAAACGGAAACATGACTGACGTTCCATCCGTGTCGGCCGCGGCGGCGTAGTGGAGGGGTGTGCAGCCCCGCTCGTCCACGTCGTTGACGCTGGCCCCAGAGCCCACCAGAGCAAACAGACACTGGTAGTTACAGTTGGCTGCGGCGTAGTGTAGAGGAGTCCTGAAACGACGACGACAACAAAAGCTTGGCTCCCTGTTCAAAAAGCGACTTGTGATCCAAAATCCCCTCACAAATTCCACAAACCTGCCAAAGCTGTCTTTTCTGTTAAAGTCTGCCCCGGTGTTGAGGAGAAGATTGAGACATTCGAGGTTTCTAAGAGAAAGGAGGAGTTTAGTAACAAAATAACTCTTTAATGCCATCTTGAAGCAAATAGTCAGCTGAGCTCAACACACCCTCCAGCTGCGGCAGCATGTAAACACGTCCTTCCAAAGTCATCGGGAGTATCGATATCGAAGCCTGCAGAGATAAGCAAGCAGAGACAAGGATTGTTGGCCTGTTAAAAACGGAACCCGTTAAGGCTTTAGAGGTTTGGCGTGTTGGGTCGCCTTCCCCGGGGGAGCGTTCACCTGAGGACAGGAGCTTTCGGCAGCAGTCGGAGAAGCCGCTGAGCGCCGCCAGATGCAGCGGAAACATGCCGTGAATGCCTCGTCTGAAAAAGACCGACATCAACACGTTGGTTCACTTTGGGTCACAAGCCATTTTCCCATGACTGTGGGAGAGGGGATCGAGTGTCACGCAGACAGAAGAGGATATTCTTCTCTACAAACGCACATGTGGCCAATTTGTAACAGTTGTGCAACGCTACGCTTTGGCTGAAGAACCTTTCGAAACTGCAGTTTTGTTTTGTTTTTAATGCAACCTGCAGCTCTGACGCTGCATTTGGAGCCCTTACGGGGAAACAGGCGGGGCGGCTTACTTAGCAGTGTCAGCTCTGTTTGTGATGAGGGTGTTGATGAGGAGCTCGTGTCCATATCGAGCTGCGATGTGCAGGGGCGTGTTTCCGTTCTTGTCTTCGCAGTCGATCTCGGCACCTTCAGCGAAATAAATCAAGCACGCAGAGTAAGCGGGTTCACAGCCCAAAGCCAGCGCAGAGCAACGAAGGGCATTCTTTCAACGAACTCACCGTTTTCAATAATTGCTTGAGACCTAGAGAACCTCCCGTGGATGGCCGTCATGTGGAGAGGAGTCTTACCATCTTTGCTCTGAAACGACATTGGAATTATGTCTTGTGGCTTCTACAGAGGCCTGTATATTCTCTTATGATGCGACGCATCTGTGACACACTCTTCTATAGCCCTGTTCCGAGTGGCCTAATGGACCCATCTGAAAATGGGAGAACTCTGACCCCAGTCCACAACTAAAAGATCTGCCACCTTTGAGTGTTTTCCGCACAGATTGGTGATGGTTCCTGTGGCTGCTGAATAGAGCCGTCAGTTTCCCTCCACGGCTTTTCCCTGAACAACCTGCCAGCCTGTCTCAGTTTCCTGAGTGGTTTCTTTATCAGGCCGTCTGTCATGTTTGCTTCTTAATCATTTTCCTCTTCCTTTTCTCATTTGTTTCACTGCTTTGTGCACATGTCTGTTGACAACAAATTCCCCAGAAAAATAAAAAATCCTAGTTGTGTAATGTGAACTCAGCTTAAAGTGCGTCAAAAAATGATGCTCTGACCCAGCGCTTGCAGGGTCTGCGGTGTGCCAAGTGCCATTTTATTAGGTCTCCATTTACTTTGGAAGATTTGTTGGCGATGGATGTTAACACTACTATGCGTTTTAGTCTTCATGGCATTCACATCTGTATTTATGTCTGCTCACCCGATGCCTCGTAAAGTCTGAGGCCATAACTGCACTTTCCTCACACTGTTGAGTGGTAACTCTTTGCCCAGACACACTCCGTTTAATGGGAACAAACACTGTGGCTTCACCCACCTTGATGTTAACATCTGCCCCGTTGCACACCAGCAGCTCCAGACAGAGCGCGCCGTGGCGCGAGGCGGCCGTGAAGTGGAGCGGAGCGAAGCCCTTCTCATTCACCTGGTTGACGTTCGCCCCGCACTCTATGAGCTCGTTGACCACCACGTCCTGCCCGTTGTAGCAGGCCACGTGGAGGGGCGTGTTGCCGTAGGCGTTTGGCTCGTTGATCTGAGCGGGACAAGCAGAGCGTCAGAGAAAGAGAGAACCACACCGCCCGGCTGTGTGAGAAGAGCCAGCCATGTCTGCGGGCCGCTGATGATGATAAGCAGGTGCTGTGGGTGGAACTCACATCCACCCCCAAGTCCAGGAGGTATTTCACGACGCTAATCATGCCACTGGAGGCTGCCGCGTGCAAAGGGCTGTAAGATTTCTTATCTTTGCAGGCCACCTCCGCACCGTGCGATGCCAGCAGCTTCACCACTTCTATGTGCCCTGCAGGACAAAAATATAACATTTACTGACGAATAGCATCTATATATTCCTTTTACACTTAAGATACGCAGACACAGGGGAAACTTGAGTAGTAGAAACTCTTAAAAAGACAGGTGAAGGTATTTCTAAGGGTCTGAGGGAAACGCATGTGTTCCTACTTACCCATGTAGGCCGCCCAGTGGATCGCACGGCGGTCCTTTTTGTCAAAAGCATTGATGTTAGCGCCTCTGGAGAGCAGGAGCCTCACCATCTAATAAAAATACAAAACATTTAAAAAAAAGGAAGAAAAGAAAAGAAAGGAGCAGTGAGGGTAACTATTAGGGGAAGCTGAAACCAGAACACGACTTCCTCTCGCACTCTGAGTAATGCCTTACATAAACGTTGCATAATTAGTGTGTTTTATGCTTTAATAATAGAGCTAATGGACAACTCTTCAACGCCACACACAGATACCATCGACATTGCTTGCACTCAAAGAAGAGTGCAATTTATTTCAAAGGCCTCTGAGCAAGTGAAGAGTGGGAAAAGAAAACAAAAAACAAACAACAGCCTTATCTTTAGTCTTTTGCAAACACTACAGATGAGTTTTAGCCACAACAACGTACTCAACATGAAACGGCTTTCACACAATGTTAAGGCGTGAGCCAGAACAAGCATCCAACTGGAGTTCAATACCTCAAGATTAAATGCTTTCTAGGAATAGAGCTACAAATAAAATGCTCTCTGAACAGCTGTTGCGCTTCATTTGCATTAAACACTGGAAAAGAGATTCCCACTTTTAAGATTACTGATTTGCAAGCGGCGATAAATAGTGATTTGCATGGTTCCACGTGACTGGACCAGAGTGGTCTGTGCACATGGCACCTTTGTGTGGGACATAATGTGATAGTTAATCCTCAGTGTCCCTCCCGTGTCTTTTAGCGGCCTTCTCCTCTCCCATACACATAGTTTTTTATCGAAACACAACACATTCTTTTTCATATTGTTCTGATTTTCTTTCCATGATTTAAGTTGTAAAAACGTGTAAATGGAGGACAGATCTTTGGACAAAAAACAAAAAAAGTAGGTGTAAGCTAGTATTCAGTGAGCTAAACTCTGCAAAGTTTGATGCAAACTTTACCCCAAACTCCTTAAATAGACCAAATGGAGCCTTTTCTTGCTGTTGCTGTCAAGCTTTGTACAATCCAACACAAAACCTATTGTGTTGCTACATTTATGAAGCAAGCAGGAACGCTTCCTCTGAGCTAAAGGAGGATATCAGGAAGTCAAACAGGTCTGCATTGCAAGAGTTTGTTTCAAACTCTTTCAAAGCTCTGCGCAGCCCGAGCCCTGTGGTCATTGGTCACTGCTACCGGACCACCCCCCGGGCTGGTGGTTACCTCCAGGTGGCCGCTGAAGGCTGCGTGGTGCAGCGCCGTGCGGCCGGCTCGGTCCGATACATTCACATTGCTGAGTAGGGGAACGAGGGCCTCGGCGCAGCGCACGGCCTTGTTGGCTGCCGCGATGTGAAGCGGCGTCTGCCAGTTCTTGTCTCTGGCGTTCACATCTGCCGAGTGTTTCAGCAACACTTGGACAGCATCCTGCCAGGAAAAAAAAACAAAACACACAAGCATTACTCAGACAAAAGAAAAGCGGCGTGTTGAGGGGGTTTGTGAGGCAGAACCGGAGGAACGTGCACATACCTCGCTGCAGGAGGCCACGGCCCGGTGCAGCGGAGTCAGCCACTTGTTGTCTTTGGCATTCACTCTTGCACCTAAAAGTCAGAGGACAATGACTCTTTCAACAACAAGCAGTTTGATGACAACTGGCATTATATCTAAAAAAAATAAAATAAAAAAATAGAACAAATGAAGTATTTGGAACGGGTTTGGGGAAATTCAGGCTAAGCCGAGAAGAATATGAGAAGAGTGATGCCGTTACATCATCTGGATCCATGTTTTCCCACTTAGTTTTTAAATTTTAAAGGAGGCATTTGCATGTTGGACAGGTTAGCGTCAGTCACTGACCACTAACTTTAGCCCAGAAAAGAGATATCAGTGTGTCCGCCCCTACATAAACAACACAATGATAAAAGGTGAGGCTTGTTTGCCCTTTTAAATCATATTTGCTGTGTTCTCAGCCTCGCAAATCTAAAAAACAAGCAGCAATGCTCACCGCTTTAAGAGCTGCACATAAAGAGTGTCACATGGTACTTATTGACAGCTTCATGTCGGGTCAGAGGCATACCTGAAAGAATCAGCAACTCTATGATTTCTGCATCTCCAAGGTAGGCAGCAGCATGCAGCGGAGTCCTCTTCTCATTGTCCTGTCATCAGTGATCAGAAAGACAGTGCTGAGTGAAAGGGAACGGAGCAGCCGGCCTCTACACTCGGGGGCCAGTCTGCTCCGACCGAAAAACGCCACTTCCAGCCCCACGGCCTCCAACACTCAGTCACAGCACAAAACATCCATTTGGGGGAAAAAAACACACAAGAAAAGCAGCATTCAGGCCAAACCCAAACGAGGACAGACCGGCCAGACTCTGAAGTAAACACCCCCGACAGAACAGTAACAGGGAGGAATGCAATGAAAGGGAGCAGAGCCGGATGGTGCGGCGGGAGCTGTAAAAACACGAGCACGCGCTCATCTGACAGTGCTGCGTGAGGTCTTTCAAGGACAACTTTCCAATGGAGGCTTTTAGATTTGGGTTTCCTTTGGCGTTATTAAAACTGTGACAACAATACGAGGAAACAGATGCGGAGATTGACGGCTGCTGGGATTACCTGTGCATTCACATCCTCTTTTTTGAATATGAGGGAGCGTACTTCATCTGGGTCGACGTTAAAAATAGCTTTCAGCAAAGCAGGCTGTAAAAGAAAAAGGCCATGTTAAAAACAAATAAACGGCACGTCAATGATTATCTGGCTGACATCTCAGACAGGAATTACACACTCTGCATCAGCTGCCCATGAAAACTGCTGTTTCTGGTTTTTACTGATGTGTCACATAAACGTTATAGGTCACAGTAGAAAAAAAAGAATAATGCCTGTTCAGACCTTTTGGAGCTTAGGTCTAAATGAGGCTTCAGAATCCTCTCTGTCCAGCACCACGATACACACACGACTCATTTGGTGCTCAGACCTGAAGCTTTCTCATTTTAGGCTCAAACTGAAGAACATGGAGGGAGGATTGTGGCGGTTCACAGAAGCCTGGGAGCAGGTGGAGGACTGGCGCGTTCCCACATTTCACAATATGAAGTTATCAGACACTTGATCTGACACCAGCAGATGCTCTGCGGCCAACTTTCTAAAACTGTTTTTCCATTTGAAGTTGGCAAGTGGAACAATATACATTCCACAGGACAGAAATACACATCCCGTTCTCAACGAGGCCGGTCCGGCCGGCCGTTGCTGTTCAGAGACGAGGCGCTCATCCTCACTTTGCCTGCAGACCCACTGAACTGGGGCGCGGCAGGTGTCCCGTCCACGTGGAAAATCCAAACAGAAATAAAAGATCTGAGCCCTCACAGGCAAAAATAAAAAGTGGGAAAAAGAATTCTACGTCGGGCCGAAGAACCTATGTTGTGACAGTTGTGGTTTGGTTTCTTAAAAGCTAGTGGAGTTTTCCCCGCCCTCTTGAGGGGTTGATACAAGCAAAGAACCGCTGATTGTGTGTTTCAAACAATGGGAGAGCTATTGACCCACAGGTATGGTTTCTAAGCTGCATCCATATTTGTTGTGATAGAAATGTAAAATCCAGAACACATTCATGATAACCTAGAGGAGCTATAAAAGAAGCCGTGAAAGTTTTTTGCGGTCAGACTTGTTACGTAGCATTCCCATCACAACATTTCCTTCTGACTCTGAAAAAGGAGACAAACCGGCCATGAGGCAGCAGGACGATGCGTCCCCGTCAGGTGCCAGGAGACGGCAGACTGGGGGAGTCCCCTGCTGCAGCGCTGGCACAACAAAACCCGTTTTATCCCGCACAGACCTTAATCTGCCTAAAATCTGACCTTCTTTACACTAGTTGAGAGAATATTAAATGGGAAATGTTAATTATGAGAGGAGGGACATGAAAAAAACTGACCAATGTTAGACTAAAACGTTAACCTCTTGGAAACAAGCCATTTAAAAAAAAAAAGAAGCACATTTCTTATCTTTTTTACAGTCAAACCGAGCTCCATTAATTAGACATCGTGCTCTCCTTTATCCCAGACTCTCCTCCTTCTTTTAACTCACCAGGCTACCAGGCCAGTCAATTAGCTAAAGTGCATCCATGCAGCTTGTTCGGCTTCGTGCAGTAAACACAGATGGTGCTGGCGGCAGGCCTCTAGACTCAACTCAATCGGACCTAACCTGTCTGTGTTGTTCTATTTCCCATAATGCATTGGGGGGCACTCAAACCGATACATGAACTTTTGTAGGAGTTAAAGATGGTCACTTTCCTCTATTAAAACTGAGCTGATTGCAGGTGACTGTGCGGCTGAACAAATCCGCTGGCCATTATTACTTCTTTTTACAAATATTCTGAGGAGACTAGCACTGCCTCCTCAGCAGCCACTTCAGGATTTACATGGCTGCTTGGGTTTTGTTCTCTCTAAAGTAGAGTAAACAATGAAGTAAAGTTGGGGGGGCCAAATGAACGATTTTAAAGAGCATTAAGAACAAGCAAGACAATGCCTACAAGGCAGCCATTAAAATGCAGTCCCTTTTAAAAGAATAATTCAAAAAGCACAGCACAATCATCTTATTTAGTATTTATAATGCTCGTGAATGTCTGCAGGGCACAAAGCGGGGTCCAGTTACTGCTGACAAATCCACGATGACAAGCGGACAATTGTGCCGCTTCCACTAACGATTACTGCATTTGCTCCACAACGTCAAAGAAACAGATCTGCGTTTAGCCGTCCCCGGCCTCTCAAGTCCTGCATGAGTGGCGTAGGAGATTTTCTGTGCTCCTCTCCGGTTGCTCGACTGCACACCTCCTCTCCCCGCACACGAGCCAGGCAAGTTAATACCATCACCATGGAGACAGCTCTCAGGCAACTCCACCAGCTCACAGGCGCACGGCCATTCAAGCAAGCAGATAACAAAAAGACACACGCACGGACATATGTGACAAGAATAGCAGGCATGTGCAAAACAAGCTCTTGAATCGAAACACAGAACTATTCTCGTTTTCAGAAGTAGGTGTCAAGTGGTAAATATAACAGGAAGGGCGCATGTCTAGTGTAGCCAAACTGCCAGTCATGCCAATTAAATGAATAGCATCACAGAGATACACCTGAAAATATAAAGCAAAGGCCAATAATGAATAGTTAATAAAAATATTTTCATTAATTATTATAGCTATTAATCATTACTAAATAGATTTTAGAGTATATAAACAAACCACAGGATGTAAATGACCAAGTTAGCCCAGAAATTCTGACCCTCTCGTCTCAAATACTAGTGGCATTTAGACAAGATGTTCATCCAAGTTGGCAAACTGTACAAAAGTTGCTTATGCTTTCATGTTTGCATTTCCACGACTTTTGACCTCTTCAGATTAAGTTTCCATCATTTTAATGAGTCACAAACGTCCAGTTGTCACAGTAATGTCACAATCAACAGATCACTCGGCTGTTATGGCAGTCATCTCACACTTCATTACAGAGATTTGGAGGCTATTCTTAAACCGTACATTCGCTTTACCACTTAAGCCCCGTTTCTTTTCTTTTTTTAAATCTTTGCCCCAATATCCAAAATGTGTGTTCTCTAAATGAGTTGCTGATAGCATTTCCAGTTGGATGCGGCTAATTTCTGGACACAAAACATCATCATCACCTGGTGTTAACTTGAAAATCGGCCATGTCTCGGTGTAAATATGATGCTAGAAACTAGGTTTCATGTGGGATTATCCTGGATATGCATCAACAATCTTTCCTCAAACTCGTAGTGATACGTTTTATCTTTAGGAGATGCGTTTAAGAAATGCTTCTGTTTCAGATACTAGCTGGAGAGACTCGAATTACATTCGCCTGGCGAAGACAGAAATGGGGAAGCTAAGCTAGCGTGAGCAAACCCACGTTAGCGTAAACTTACGCCAGCTTTTGACACAAGATCACTTACCTGGTCTCGAATTTTGAGAACCACCATATTTCTGGGATTTAACTGATCTCATGCAGAATCATAAAGAAATACTTGTCTCTTTCCAAACAGCAGTGTTTGATCTTAGTAGCTCCCCCGCTGTTCTGCCGGAGGCCTAGCGTGACTCTAGCTTAGCTCCTTAGCTAGCTTCCTCCGCTGATGGCATGAAAGCAGATGAGTAGCGGAAACTCCATAACATTGCCGCCACCGTATTTCACCTTTCCAAGACACGCCATCCAATAGGCTGAATAAGCGCAACCCATTAGTAAGAGAGGTAGTGATTGGTTGTTGTAAAACTGCCCTCTGTGACGGCTTCTCTCTGTTGAATGCTGCATTTCTGCCTAAAGTCCGTAGGCACGCGTAGCAATGTATAGTATAGATAAGATATTTAGGAACAGTTTTAACGTATAACTAAATTATGAAATTATAACGCCCAAAAAATGCCATTGTGAAAAAAGCAAGAAACCCATCGAGAGGCCTAAAAATGTGTGTTTATACACTGCGAGTCATCCTAAACATAACCAAATACGAAATCCGTTTTTTTGCCATGTTGTCTGTGATTCTGGATTGAGGGAAGAAAGCAAAACAAAGAGGTTCAAAAGTATTTTTCCCCCCCAAAAAACCTTAAAAAAGACTCGTGCAGTTTGAATCAATACAACATCAAGATAGTTGTACTTTTATAAGCAATCATACATATTTATGCATCTCCCAAAGTTATGGATTTAAATGCTGTGTATGTACTATGTTCGGCTATTGTTACATCAAAATATGACGAAATCTGGCCCCCTAGTGACAAAACCCTCTATTACAAGCAGTTGTTGGAAGTTGTGCTTTTTAATAGTTATACTCCATTCTGGGTACTTAAAATGTTTTTTCGCTAAAGGCACTCTCTCTAGATCTATCTTAATTAGAAGGATAACTAAACAAGCTTCCAAAAAAACTCACAACAAGAGTGTCCACCAAAATAATCCTGAAAATGAGGACATTTGCCCAGGCATCTGAGCCATTTTTGGAGGGATACAGCTGAGGACAGCGGCGGTAATGTCCAAAACTGGATGGGCAGACTGTACCGCCCCTGAACAGGAGTGGAATGGCATCACTTTAGAGACCCAGAAAGGTTTGCACTTAAAATGGGGAATTTCTGGTGCCCCAGCTGACTTGGGGATTTTGCGACAGACCCGTGCTCACCACATTCAGAGATTCAGATTTCTGCTTATCTACTTAAATATATCTGCAGTAATGCTTTGTGTTAATCCCTCATAATTGCCCATCTCACAGACAGATGGGAAGATGAATATGCAAAGTCACAAGCATCCAAGTGTTACATGAGCTATCTAGACATTGAAAAAGGAAAAAAACAGAGCTTTTGAAGGACTCTTTTATAAGAACGTGGTTGACGGAAATCACTTCTGGGAGGGGGTGAATCACATTTCAGTTTGTTCATGTAGAAAATGAGGAAAGAGGAGAAGCTGCTGTTTCAGCGATGTGGTCGATTTCGAGTACAAACTGGTCACCTTTGCTGGGGGTAATCCTCCTGGATATGTCTATAAGCCCTCCAAAGGCCACAGTAACTCCAGCTGAAATATTTTCTCACCGTGGAGGCTGTGACAGAGCGGTTTTCCCACAAATTAAATTAAGAAGAGGGGAAACAGTGGAGAAAAGGAATAAATGAAGAAAACAGATGCTGACACACATACCTACCCTCTTTCCAAGCCGCTTTAAAAACTACCCTCTGACCCTGTGTTTTCATCGCTCTTGTTTACAAGGATGTGTGTTTTGGAGTGGAAGAAAGTGTGTGAAAGAGAAAAAGACAGATTAATGTACTTTAAAAAGTTCTATAAAGAAACGCAAAACAAATTCAGCCGCATCCTAATGATATTTGCCATATATATTTCACCTAATACTCTCTTTTCAAATTATTTTTAGAAATCTGTCTGAAATATTCACTCGGCTTCATTTTACCCTGCTGTGAAATGACCATGCAATCTATTCTATTCTATATTTGTTAGGGCTACAACAATCACAGCATTCGTTCTGTTGTGAAAATTTCTAGGAGAAAAGACATGGTACTTAGTGTGCAGATGCCAGCTGTGGAGTCCTACACAGGGAAGAAACAGCCACACTGACGTGCATGAAGGATGGTGCCTCAGGCGCACTGATGTTTGGCTGTGCCCCTGTCTGTCCAGATGTCAGGATGAGAGATGGCACACAGCTGGACTGTTAGGATCTTAGGATGAAAGTGGTGTCACCCACTGGGTCAGTCCCAGCTGCTGAAGAACAGTGGCAAGATGGAAAAAATGTCATCCCTCTGTTTCCCACCACTCTTCCTGGGGTGCAAATACAGAGCCAGAGGTCACATCATTAATACATCCCCGCCATACAGTCTCCTAAAAGTCTGTTTATATTACAGGCATCGTGACGATAAAATAGAAACCCCAAGACTAAACTGAGTTACGAAGCACCATTTTGTGAGCTAAACCAAGCTGTCTACGCCCAAACAGTAGTGATGTGGAGAACAGGTGAAAACAGATGATTGGTGCTTTGTTCCTCTCCTAAAGGGCAGACATTTGTCCACCAGTCCGAACAGTGAACGAAGATGGAGCACTGAGGAATGCTTTGAAGTGACAAATAAAAATGTGAGTCCGCGGACAGCTGTAGATTTACGACAATGGAAAATCTGCATACGATCTCTGCTAATCATATAATCAGTCAAGCATTGCTCCGGATAAGTAAAACACATCCCTTCTTTTCAGCCAGCACTTTCTTGCAAGATTGAGTGAGAAATTCACTTTCCTTAAGTGTTCTGTCTTCCCTTTAGAGTTTGAGAACTACTATTGCGACGAACAGAAGCTTTTTTTATTGTTTTTAATGTGACATCACTTACAACAACTTACAACAATACAATGATGATTAGACTTATTCATTTTGTTAGTATTTATTGAATAATTTCATATCTTTCCCCAGCGGCTGTCAATGACTAGCACAACCACTAGATGGCGATGCCTCTACCCTGATGGTCTGATGGTGGATTTGCGGACATCGATACAGGTGCTATTTTTAGACGGTGCACCACTGCAAGCTGTTTGCAGCTGTCGAAACGTTCACGTTCAAAATTTCAAGGAAGAAAAAACACCTTCAGTCAGAACTTATATTCTTTACCTTTATTCTGTGCGGGGTGCATTAATGACTGTCACAAAAAGTGAATACAGGAGCAGTTTAAAATAATATCTGGCCAATAGTATATTGACAAAACATATATAGCTATATATAAATCTAAGAAAAGCCATTGCTCTTTGGCATCCCTGGAAGTTACAATCAGACCTACAACTGTACTTCTTTGTTTTGTCCCCTCCGTCCATCAAAGCGAAATGACTGATGGACGCGGGGCTGCTGCACCTGCTGTGGACGGTCAGCAGCAGCAGCCCGGGCCTCTCCGTCACAGAGATTACCCGAGGAGAGAGGAGGCGTCGGCGGCGGCGGTGGAGTAGGCGGTGGAGGAGGAGGCACGCTGAGTCTGCTGCTAGCCTGCCTAAGATTTTATAATTGTCAACCAAGTAAGACTTAAAGCTTCGTCCTAAAATAGTTAGAAAGCCGTCACAACCCACATAAGTATATAAAATATACAATGAACACAACTAATACAGTTATCTATTGTAAAAATTGTGCATTCTAGCTAAATATGTGCTCATATTTGACGTAATTCTAACAGTGCAGTTGTAATAATATTAGTCATAATGAAGTCCTCAACGGCTCGTTGGTTGGACCCCGCTGTTGAGGGCGCTGCGAGCGCATTAATATTTGATGTGAGGGGTCGTTCTGCGGTCACAGGTGGTCATTTCCCAATCTATTGTGAGTCCGCCGGTGATATTGAACCGGAAGTGTCTGCATCACAGCAGGCCGGTGACAGTCGTCACGCAACCGCCGGTCTGTAAATGGCTTTCGCCCGTAGACTGACTGGCTTCATCATCACTGGTTTCGCAGACTGCTATTAGCTCCAAAATATGGGGTATAGTAACGCGGGCTGCCATCTATAAATAGACCTGCTTGCGAATGTATGATCTCATCAAAGGCGGCTGAAGTGTGAAAGTGCCTGTTGAAAAAACTCGTTGGATAACCAAGCTACATTACCCCCTTGTTACAAAACACCAATGGCCTAAAATGACCACTTGATATAGCGTTTAAATGAGTAATTGAAATAGGGTAGAACGTTCTCCCATTATGAGTACCAACTGAATTTACCAATTGCAGCTTTAAGTATTTTTTATAGATACCACAGCAAATTTTTACACAATTCTAAATGCTGTTCCTATAGAAAGATGGATGAGACTTCAAATATGTAAAACACTGAAACCCAATCATTGTAGCTCTAAATAAAGCTATTGCACGCACATCTCTAATAAAAAAGAGAAAAGACAGAAAAATGAAGGAATGAAGAGTGTTTACTCATAATACAGAAATGCTCATTTTAGTAGAAGGGTATGATAGTGATTAATCACCATCATTGATCCCTACAGTCTTAAACAGTGCTTAAATCTTGTTGGTTAGACTCATTCTAAATGTTCCAATTCATCAACTTTTTACTGACAAAATACAAATATCAAAACAGTAAAACTGTAAATGAACTTCTCTAGTAGTGCAAAATTCATTATCAGACTTTGTTGTAAAAAAAGAAAGAATCCTGTGTGCTAATCAGACTAACCATTAATCCCAACTCTTGGGAAATGTTTGCTTCCAAAAATGTAACAACGCAAAACAAAGGATGCCCTGATTTGTGGAGCAGCTGCCAGTCCGTTTTCAATGGGAGTGCATTTAGCTTTCCGAACTGGAGGAAATGCTTGCAGAGCTACATCCTCACAGGCTCCTTGGAAGGCTGCATCCATGTTGGATACATTCAGCATTGTTGTCAGTGTTGCATTTAGCAAGATTTCAGCTTTTTATTCAGCTTACGTGTTCTATTTCTTATTGGTATGCCATTTGATCAGTTTTGATATGCTACACTGCTTGTGCAC